TCTTATTCGAAACGATGGAAATACGCGCTAAATCCGATATGGAGTTTTGTATCGCGCGCGAGAACAATATATATATATATATATATATATACACATAGGGTGAGACACCAAAGTTTATGCAGGTTTCGTTTAAAGCGCGCAATTTATGGGCCGAGCATCAATAACCCGAAAAGCTTTTGCTTCCGAGAAACGAGTGAATACTCAAACAATTCATGATCGCGTGCTAGTTTTTCTTTTTTTTTTTTTTTTTCCAAATAGTAGCTTATAACAGAGATTTGTTTCGTTTCCCAATTGTCGGTAAGCGTAGTAAAGGCGGCAAAGAGATTGAAGAGTCTTACAGTCATGTTCGATACCATAGACGTTATAATCCCTCGAATTCTTAATAAGATGGATTTTAATACAACCGTTTTTTTTTTCTTCTTTTTTTGTAGATAAATGCGGCTCGTATATTGCGATTCTTATCATCATTTTAGATAATCGGCAAAAATGTCTTTTGAAACAACTTTGTATTCCACGAGGAGATGGTCTTTGCTTTCATTGCACGCCTCACCGCGATGAGCAATTATTTTGTCGTTGCAATACCACTTTGTACACCTATCATGCGTTTTAACAATCGTTAGCTCTTAAAATTCTTTCGATGGAAAAAAGAAAAAGACCCCTACCGCGCGTACGAAATATATATATATATATATACATACGCGTCACGTGTACATATATTAACGTTGAGAGTCGTATACATATATAATGAAGAAAAATAGTGGCAAACTCGCGGTCAAGAGTGCAAAACTCCTCTCGAGTGAGGATGACTCTCCTCCCTCCGAGTCGGTAGTTAATGCGACGCGGCGAGAGCAAGTAGTTTCACTTACCACACACAACATATATATGGGTATAGGATACCACTCGCCGCGCCTGCATCACGTACAAAATAAGCACTTGGAGTCGTATAGATAGCCCGCACAGACACTCGAGTGGGGCATCTGCATAGTGTAGAAACGGCAGTAAAGATACACATCTGCCCTCCTCCTCCTCCTCCGCGGCTGACTCGGTCGTACCTACACGCGCAAGAAGAGGTGAACAAACTCGCGATCCTCCTCCTCCTTACTCCTCCCGTAACATGTATATATATATATAAGTAGCCGCACGATCCTCCGGGCCGATTCAGTTACCTAGCGTAGCGTGGCAACCTTTTTTTTTTTTTTTTTTCCTTTTTTTCCCCCCCTTGCCTATATACACCAAACCTCGTGCTCGCGCGCGCGTGCATCGGTATATATAGTGGAGTGTAGGAAGCAACCGGTTCGCCGGATAACTAGCCATAGCTCGCGCTCTTCTCCTCGTGTGTATAGCGCCGACACCTCGTTGAGAGGGACTAAAAAACAACGCGTCGTCACCTCGCGCTCGTTCGCCCATGTGTCCCTTTTCCTTTTTCTTCCGTTTTTTACCTTTGCGATGCGGTAACCGCGCCATTATGTATTAAGTAAGGGCCATGAGAACGCGGAACGCCGCGCTTCACGCTGAATGAACTGTGAAATTAATACCCCCCCCCCTCCTACGAGCTGTACCAAGTGTATATACATATAGATGTACATTTTTCCCTTCTTCTCCGCGAATAATTACTGCCGATTTTCTTGTTGCAATTTGTTTTTATGTATACCTACGTATCTAGATCGTGGTAGGCAGTATCGGTATCGATCGGTCAATCATTACGTATGATTGTTTTGCGAGAACAAATCGGGTATCGGTAACTCCGTATACCGATCTTCAAGCCGTTTCTTAATTTCTCTGTTCTGATGAGGAAAAACAAAAAAAAAAAATACAATCGTGCACCCTTCCGTGGTAGAAAAGGTATAGATGCACACACACGTCGAATCCGGCCGATCGTTCACCTCGAAAGACGCCACTTGCATTAACTGTGAAAGCTTTCCCGGTATACCCATGCCTACCTATACCTACCGATCTATCCACAGTACCTATAGGTATTGTAAAAGGGGGACATCGTTCGCGTGGAGATATATATATATACCCATATATGCACCCGATACGACGCAGCCGTGCCTTTTTCAAAAAGGAAACACTGCACATTTAGGTCCACACACTCCGGAATGTCACTTGATCGATCGTCCCGGCCTCTTCTTCTTTTTTTTTTTTTCCTCGTACTCTTTGCTTCCTGCTCGACTTCTTCAACGGAATCGCACACGTGAGCCAATTCTCCTCTAGAACAGCACATACCCTTCGGGATGTCGTTCTCTCTCTCTCTTTTTCTCTCTATACCTCGACACGCTTCTGCGTGGATATACGCTTTGATACGTGGTACATATAACCGGGAATTAAAAGAGCTCGAGCATCGGCCTCCACTTTTGATGTCGTGCCGTTTTTTTTTTCCCTTTTATTCTACGCCTATTCGTGTATGCCGATTTTTCGCTAAATTCGTTCTTTACCTTCTATAAAGTGGAGACCGTTGAGATTACGTAAAAATACCGATCTCTCTGTTTGGGGGAGCAAAAAAAAAAGTATATCTGTAAATGGACAATCTAAAACAACACATACGCAACCCGATCGGTATATGTTATAGTACACCATATTCACTACCCTCCGTTTAAAAACCGATTTTATGTTGTATGGTATCGATCAAACACCTGCACGGGGTACACATTTTTCTTTCCCCTAAGTACTATAACTCACCGCGTGACACGCGCACACGCAGCGCGCAAATGAATAATTCTTTTCCTCCGTTTCCTCTCTTCCGCGCGATAATTTTTGTTATCCCCCTTCGTGTGGGTACACACGCACCTATATTTGGCGATGCTGCAGGCAGGGGGAAAAAAAAAAAAAAGGATGCGTGTGTATAAAACAATGCGTCGTCGTCGGCAATATTATACACGACGCCCGTTCTCCGAGTGATTGACCGGGTGGCTCTTTCGTGCGGCTGTGTTGTTGCCGATCCCCCCCTTCTCTACTCCAGGAAGGACGAGATAAAAGACGAGCCGCGACTCGGTGCGGACTAACTTTTTTTTTTTCTTCCTTCTCTCTTAAACGTTCCGTGACTCGATTATTTTTTTTTTTTTTTTTTTTTCTTATTCGAAACAGNTTTTTTGTTCAGTAGTTGTTTTTGGAAAAAAAAAACCGGTTCAAAAAGGCAAAAAATTTGTTTTATAGCTTTTAACTTTTCTACATTTGCATTTTTGGCCAAAATGTTGAGTACAAAAATTGTAGATTTTATAACAAATACACTTTTTTTTTGTACCGATCACTTTCATCAATATTGTCCTAAACTCTTTAAAAACAAAAAAAAATCGTTTTATAGCATATTAATTTTTCACGTATGATGTGCGGATAAAATAATAGTTTAAAATACAAAACTTCGATACACGTTTATTGCCTTTGCCATTTTTACGTCCACATAATATCTTCCCAACTTGTCTTGAAATACCCGAAAAATCACTTAATTTTCTTATTTGAGATTCACCAACAAACCACCAATGTTAAATATATTATATCAGAATATAAATTAAATCTATAAAAAAATAGTGTCAGCTCCAATTAATGTCACACTTCCGGCGCGAGACGTTTGCTGGTAATTTTAAGACGTAAAATTTACTTTCAGGATCGAGAGCACCGGCAACGCCACGCAGCTGAAGATCCTGTCCCTGTCCAACGAAAAGTCGTACCGGTTGGCCAACGATCTCAAAGCCGAGAAGGAGACGTCGCGGGGCCACCACCGCCAGCACCAAAACTTCAACAACTGGCACGACACCTCGACCAACAACGACGTCCAATTGCCGCAGCAGAGCTCCCGCAACGCCCTCACGGCGGAATTTAACGGGGCGCAGCAACAACACCCCAAGAAGCACAGGAAAAAATCGGCGGGCGTGTCGTACTATTACGCCCCGGCCCTGACCGGCAAGTCGGCCTCGACCAGCATCAGCAAACACTTCCCCGGCAACGGCAAGCCCAAGGCCTTTTACGTTATGGAGAAGAGTCGGAAGCCCGTTTATTACCATCCCCTGCTACCGTAAGAACTTTGTGTGCGCGTATACGCATCCAGCGTCTCGTATACTTGCTGGCTTCTTCTTTTCCTTTTTTCCACTGCAGCTATCATTACTATTATTAGTCCCTGTGCCGAGTTTACATTTTTTTTAAACCGCTCGGTACACGGATGGCGAAATTGTCACGGGAAAATTCGAGGATCGGTGCTATATTTTTTGAACAAAAGTGTACAATCGTTAAATTTCTTCCCTCGTTTGCGAAAACCTAAAATGGTAATTTTTGTTCGTGTCGAAGCGCCGAGTTGTTTTTGTATTACTATTATATGTGTACTTGAGATGGGATTACATTGGGATCATGCAGGGTAGCATACGATTATATATTACATCTCATCACGCATAGATATAAGATTTTCTTTTTAGTTTTTCATTGAATGTACTTAGCATTAATCTCATCGTTTTTCAAACAACAATTGTTTCCGAAATAAATACTGTTTTTTTTTTTACAAGCCACTCGAACTTTTCTAACGATATACAATTATCTCGTGCATCAATTTTCTCCGTCAAATGCGATATTTCTTGAAAAGACTGAAAAACACCGCTATGCATAAATATACATATATATATATTTTACTAACTGTAACGATCGATCATTTATAATTATCATATACGTATTTACCTTCGAAAGATTTTACTGTCGAATTATGTATAACGATACCGATTAACACAACTAATATGTGTACGTATGGATAATCAGATGTACGTAGGTGCGAAAGAATGCGAGACTCCGAAGAATGCGACGGTATGCCTGACTTTGGAAAAAAATCCTTCGGACAAGAAAAACCTTTTTTTTTTTTTTATATACCTTTATACGTGTACTACTGCGAGTTTCCTATATGTATAATAAATAAAATTGAAAAAAAAAGTACTTATACGTTGAAAGCTCTCTTGTGAAGAAAGAAAGAAAGAAAGAAAAAAAAAAATCATGCGTCCCTTTCGTGAATCACCGATAACTCGATAACGAGCCCCTTTACCTTTTTTTACCCGTTTGCGTTGAGAACCCCTGCCTATATATACACCGTGAGCAATAAACTGCGAGACGCAGGAGTATAGAACCCACGAGGTGCGAGTCGTATATTTATATACTTGCTACATGTACGGGTGTATACGTGATGCGCGTCTCGCAAATTCCGGGGCACAACAACAGCCTTGTCCCATAAAAGTCATCCGGTGCAGGAAAAGAGGGCTGCGTCGAAAAACTGTATAATAACATCAACGCCCGCGAAAAAGTCGCGTCGATCGATTCTCCCTTCGACGGAGTGGCTCGATATGTATATTTTTTTTTTTGTTTTGTTTTTTTATTACTTGCGAGAGATCTGGTACTCTTCGATAAATGAGGAGCGGTTTTTCGTTATAAATCGCGTACGCTCGCGACTCTCGTGTATATTTTTACCAGGATCCTCGTGTGTACACCTTAAAATATTGTCAAGCGATGTTGACGGCTTTTTGTTAATTTTGTGATTTTTTTTTTTTTTTTTCAAGATGATTTGAAGAATGTACATATTTTTGTTTATCCCTGTTGTTTTAATAAAAAAAAACACGACGAAACATTTCGAACAAATCTTATTGGAAGTAATATCAGATGACAAAAACAATATCCGTGATACCAAATTACTTGTTAATTTTGTGATTTTTTTTTTTTTTTTTCAAGATGATTTGAAGAATGTACATATTTTTGTTTATCCCTGTTGTTTTAATAAAAAAAAACAATTGGATAAAATTTTAATGCAAAGTTAATTGAAATAGCATTTACATTAAAAGTTATGCTGAAAAAGAAGAAGAAAAATAATCACACAGTTTAATTTTGCAGGTTGAGAGTTCAATCCGCGCGGTTTGCCCCCCGAGTTACATTTTACGCAAATGTCTCGTTAAAAATATGAAAACTTTTGCGTACATCAGTCCAATTATATCCAACGCTAATTTTGTCGTTTCATCAATTTAATTAAAATTACGCGAAAAAAACATTGTTCCCTTTTATATTTTCAACTACGTACTGTATGTTGTGAAACACAAAAACATAGCCAAGTGATTGTAAAAAAGGTAAAAAAAATGACACAATTAAAAAAAAAAAAAAANGCTCATCTGCGAGTGTCGGTGGCGAAACCAAAAAATATTCGGACACTCGCACTTTTGTTTATTTTTTTTTTTCTCCAAAAACAAAAAAAGGAAAAAAAATGAACAAGTGGACCCGGCACTAAATGTCGACGAGTTTGCGCGCACTATCGGAGTGAAGAGTTTTCTTAAGCCGGCGCTTACTTATGCCCCTGGCCCCCACCGTCTGGCTCTTCTTTCGCGCGCGCGGCTCTTATATATGTGCCCACTTGACGGTCCCTTTATCTCTCTCTCTTTTTTTCCCTCATTTCTCGCTTTCCCTATCGTTCGTGCCTTTTTTTTTTTTTTTTTTTTTTTTTTTTTTTTTTTTTTTTGGGAGGGGGCAGAGGGAGGTATGAACACAGTGTGCTCTGGAATGCCGGGGACCGCGCATTTAAATTTCGGTGACGAATGTACGCTTTTTTCACCTTTTGTGTACATACGCCGCACACAATTCGTGAGTTTTTCTTTCGAGAGATTTTTGGGACTTGTACATACGCACGCGTGTGAGTAACCCATTGGTTTGTTGCATCGGCGCGTGGATAATTTTTGTTGGACTGAGGCAAGAAAATTTTTCTTTTTTTTTTATAATTCGATGCAATTTAACGTGATGTATCGTGGCACCTTTCGATTTACCAGACAAGGTTGCAAAAATGTTGGTATAATACTTTTCAACAGAAATTTTTGTTGTTTAATTTCACGAAGCTCTCGCTAGAAATTGAAAACGATAAATTTTTCATAAGTAAAAAATGTAGCGGAGTTACACTTTTATAACCAAGAAAATATTCATTAGAATAATAGTTCTAAATAAATATTCGTTTGAAACAAGATAATCATTTTTTTTTTTTTTTTTTTTTTTTCAAGTTTTCAAGAGATTATTTAGCAGTGTATAACGATTCTAAGGAATTTTTTTATAACCAAGAAAATGTCAACTAGAATAGTTCCAAGTGAATATTCGTTNTCCAAATGCAGATTTATTGTTTCTTTATTATAACTATATTTCAACTATTGTTCTCGCACATTTTTTTCATGTGTATAAAATCGTCGTATTTACAGCGCAGCTCGCAGTTACAATGTTACAACAAATAAATATATGTATATAAACATCGACGCACACCTAATGTATATTTATTCGGACACAGTATGGTAATTAACATTGAATGAAGAAAAAAAAAGTTACAGGAGGCTCGTAATGATTTTATATTTCGAAAAAAAAAAAAAAAAAAGAAGAAGCTTTTTTGTACAGATACAAGTATATATTATACTTTCAATGTTATCCTACTAAAGTTGAAAACTAAAAAAGAAAGGATATCGATAAAGCCAACATTGCATCAGTGTCATGTTACCGGGACATGGAAAAAAAAAAGGAGGTGTACCAGCACATAATATAATCGATCCATATCCGCAAGACCATTTACCCCACGGATACGTATTGCAATAAGTCCAACTCTCGACAAATCAATAATCTCCATCAGACTCGATCCGCGGAACAGGAAAAAAAAAAAGCTGCAGGTATACTTAATACACACGCAGAGATTAATGAAAAGGAAGTGCGATGGAAAAAAAAAAAAAAAAAAAACCGCAAGACAATCGCATTCGAGCCGCTTTTAATGTGCATTCGTCCCGACCGTAATTTCCAAGGGGGAGAGACGTTGCCTCTCGATTACTTCCCGTCCGGTCTCTCCTTTTTTGCTCCCCCCCCTGCCATTAAACCATCACTCGCCGCGCACATTTTTCGGCTCACTTGTATACCTGCCACACACATTCCATACACACATATGGTACTGATAGTATATACACAAGCGTTGGTTGTGCGACCAGGTGCTACTTGAGGAGGTCGTTGGGTCGGTTGTTGCCGTCGAAGACGTCGCCCCGTGGCTTGCCGTTGAAGAGGTAGGGCCCGCGGTCGAGTTTGACGACGGGGCTGTCGGGGGCGGTCCACCGGTAAACGCCGATGGGTTTGCCGTTGCTGACAAAGTCGACGGGCGGCCGGACAAAGTGGGGCCGGTGGAAGGCGAGGGAGCCCGAGGTGAAGCTCGGCCCGCGGGACACGTAGCCGAGGCCCTCGATGTACGTGTACGGGGCAGGTGGTAGCTTCACGAAGTAGATGTCGCTGTCGCGACGCTTGGTGGTGGCCAGTTTGCGCTTCGACGACTGTTTCTATATAGATGCGTATGGGAGAGGAAATAATGTTATACGGTGCCAGGGTCTCGACTTTTGAGCCATTTGGGGGCTTTTGCGTGTACCTTCGGGACTCGAAGAGTCTCAAGAGGAGGTTTGAGAGTCACATAAAGGCTTTGGAAAAGTTTCAAAGTCTTTTTCGGATGGATTTAAGGTCTCCCAAAGTCAATCAAGGACTACAAGTGTGGCCCAAAAAGGTTTTTAAATCATTTCAACTCACGTGAACTCTTTCAGAGTCGATCAAATATTACGAAGGACTTTTATTGTGTATTGAAGACTATGAAATCCTGATGACTTTGAAGTTTCCCAAAGTCTTTCAAACTAAAAAAATCACGTAAAGACTTCAAAGTCATTTGGAATCACATAAAATGTTTGAGAGGCGTTGAAACTTTGACAAATTCTTGGGAAAGTTGACCAAAATATCTCAGAGCTATTCAATTTGAAATCTATTTGAAATCCTTATGACTTTGAAGTTTCCCAAAGTCTTTAAAATTCGACTAGTCTCCAAGGTCACAAAAAGTTTTCAAAGGTCTTTGAAAATTTAAGAAAAACTTTG